AAAGTTCTTGCATAATCCTCATCAGAAAAAGAACATTTCTCAATTAGTCTCTTTTTTGCCTATGGAAGCGAAATTCAATGAAAACAACAAAATGCTTTTGAATCTTAAGCAGACGCACACGGAAACGCTAGCGTATCTCAAGTAATTTTCACACTGAAGACGCTGTTGGTGCCCTTGACATGTCTTGGCGAGCAGAATGTTACATAATGTTGCAGGGCTTCGTTGAGATTTGCGAGTCTCCGACCAGTGCCAATGCCCCGTCTGCCATACTCTTTCCCCAGTGTTCGTTTGCGCCATGTGTTGCACGCTGCCTCGATACCCAAAACGGGGGGCACGGGACAATTGCTTCTGGTACTCTTTTCTCCACAGTTCTGAACCCAATTCTAACGACCTGCACATTAGTAGCTCTTGATATCTACTTTTACGTTGACAAAATCCAATCCCTTAAATCCCATTTTGACCTGAATTAAGGCTGGCAGAGGTGCAAGGTGAGAAAATCTCTTGTTTTTTGGTCGTCCCTTTCACACTTTCGTGCGTTCGATAAAACTTGCTTCTTCCAAGATGTCAAAGATGTCGCTGAGCTTGTTTTTTTTTCACTGTGGCGAGCCGAAAACAGGAACGATAAGACGAGGTCATAAATGCAAAGGACGCACTAAAAATTAGATTGGCTTTCATGTGAATTCTGACTCTAATGAAAGGAAACCTTTCTGTGATCGTGACCAACTTTTTCCTTGATCTTCTTCTTGGCAAACACCATTTCCGGGTCGTTGTTTCTGCTATTCCAAAAAAAGAAATCAGCTTCCTAAATTTTTCACATAAATCGGTGATATCTAAGGCGAAAACCGGCCTCAAGTACCTTCAGAAGGCGAAAAGCTATTGTAGTTTTTTTATTCGATTTCTAGCAGTTTGTTTTACTATGCTATTCACTTTATCTCCTTCACCTTCTCTTATTAACTATCTCCTTCTATGAGTGCAGAGTCTCAATCAACTTTCACCTTTAACACGTTGACGACAGTGCCGCGCAATGGTGCGCGGCAGGCAGTCTGTCCCTGTGGACGACGCCGCGCAATGGTGCGCGGCGGCCTTAAATTCAATACTATCTGTCCAATCCTCTCAGTTTTCGTTCATATAATCAACATAGGCTCAGATGTACTTCATATATTAGCCCCGCCCCTTTTGGCAAGCTCCGCCCACTTCTATGCCTCTCACAAGGACCCTTTTTTGTCCATAAAAAGCATGGATGAGGCTGCAGGTGAATGCAAAGACCTCAGGCAACTTTTAGCCAGGCCCCGCCCACCGTCAGGCAAACCCCGCCCCCTAAGTGGCAAGCTCCGCCCACTTTTCTAAAGTGGCGGAATTTGCATGAATACTTGAAATTTGGGCAATTTCCGACATTTTTGGTCGAGTGGGCGGAGCTTGTCAGAAGGGGCGGGGCTTGCACATTTTGTACCTCGTGCATGGATGCATGCATACATACATGGGCCACGCGTAGGGATGCATGGAAACGTCTCGTCCACAGGGACAGACCTCAAAAAAATGGCTCGTCGTCAACGTGTTAAGGCATTACCTCTAGACTAGCGAAGGTATGCGTCTTGTTGCTAGCTTGTCCTCTCCTGTTTGTTGAAATTGCCAGAAGACTTATGGAGCCAGTTTCTCTGCTTATATGTATGCATATATTAGCTGTGGCTACCATCCAATCATAATTCTTAAAAGCTTACAAGTGAAAATAATCACGAATCAGCTTCAGCGCAATGTTCACTTGTCAGCATTTCCTCAAGTGTTTGTTACGAGCTTGTCGCATATGACTCACATCTTCTTCAGAAGATTTTATCACATTTTGGGGATACTCTTATCAAAAACATACACAGCGTGCAAACGATGCATCAATGGAAATACTTTGAAACGGAGGTGACCTCGCATGATTTCTGCAACACACGCTCACGCATATTAATGTTCAAGGCATTTGAGGGCGCTGTAATTTTTTCAGAACTGTTCAAGGCATAGCACAGTTTGTTTCAGCAAAGGTAACATAGCAGATAGTAGTGAGCAAAGAACAATCTAAACTGATGCAAGTCAGAGTTGTTTACTGTGCATTGCTCTAGTCTGTAACAGTCATGCATTGTTGGCCGATCATACACAGAAAATACAATAAATATTTGTTTCATGAGGTCAGATAGGCATCAGCTAAAAGACAAGTGTTGGTATCCGTGTCTATTCGTAAGATGAGAAAGCCTTGGGGTCCTTTAATAACGGAAGCGGGCGTTATTCCAAAGTGCCAGGCCCCATGGTAGGATGTCTTGAAAATATGTCCTCATAGCAGGCAATGGAACGTTCACTGTATCGATTATCACCTCAAACATTCTCGTCAAGGAATATGCGAGAAAAAACGATTCAGTAACACGCTCTTCTGGTTTTCGTGTGGAAGCACGTTATGTAGCATATAAGATGAAAAAAGTGCTTTGCAGTATAACAAGGGAGAAAGCCAACTCAAGAGCAATTTTTTTAACACTCCAGGTGTAGTTGACCACAAAAAACCTACAGTCCCTGGGAACTTCTCCTATAGTGTTCCCTCATATACCAATTGAATGCACGAACAAAACAGGCAATTTAGACTTACCTGATAATTTGTTACCAGATTTGTGATGTATGTGTTTTCCAAAATGTGGGCAGAGAATAAAAATAACATAGTTGCATTTATCTTTTCGACAACATGCGACTGAATGCATTGCGATCCATAAGAAATATGGCTGGATGAGCAGACACACTAGATGGGAACGACAGCTTCTTTGAGTTCTCTCTCCGTCCACCCGAAAGTGATGAAAGTTATGGAGATAGCGTACTATGTGAGATCTTTTTACTTGTGTAATCGATTCTCAAATTTTCGAAAAAAAAACTCTTTCATCAGCTCGTAAAAAATTTTGGCGTAAGGGAGAAGGGTAGCAAAGTTTGATCTCAAAGTTCCCGGTAAATTTTTGTGACTTCTCGTTCACAAAACGTTCCTTGATATAGCAGAAGAACTCAAAGATCTTTATTAGCTGCTCACCAATATTTTCAGCTCGAAGCACTAGAGCCATCACACTGCTGAACAATGCTCTTTTAAATGAGCTTGCTATGCGTGCACTAAGGCAGTTGTCACGCCGCTGGTGGAACCTATCAAACCTAGCAAGGGAATGGTCAGAAGTTGAAGTGGCCAAACCAAACAAGCTGTATATCATTCGATGCAGTATAAAACGCTGACTTCGAATCTGTCTTCCTTATCTGCTTCCCGCTTCTGTGGACGAAGCTACAAGCAATTTTATTATGAAAAAATCATACATAAAAACAGCGAAATTGAGCACATTGTTGCACTTTTAGCTCGGCTTTTGGCTTCAAAAATTTTAAGTGAGTTATCTGCATGTTTTGGCCCAGCATTGAGGCGAACGAAGCTCTGTACGGCTAAATTTTCAATTTCACGCATAGTTTCTAAGCAAAATAATAGTCTTTAATGCCTTTAACTTCGTCCAGAAAAGCGATAAGCAGATAAAGAAGACAGATTTAGAGTCAGCGCTTCATGCTGCATCTATCGCTACGCAGCTTGTCTGGAATGGCCACTTCGATTTCTGACATTCCCTTGTAAGTATGAAGCAAATTTGAAATTTTCAAAAAGCTCCACGGAAATTACAGATTATGAAGAACATGTAACATAACTATGCGCCAAGCTAATATGCCTTTTCTAGTATGTCCAAATATCTGTCATCAATTCCATGTAAGCATTTCGTTAAAAGTTTTACGACGTCGCAGCACTTGCCAACTTCAGCTAGCACACTTGAGAGAGATTTCGTTAAGGATGTGACTAATTTAGGATTGACAGCAAATCTGACTTTAGTGTTTTCTAAATGTTATCAAAAATTCGGATAGCAACGATGGATACTATCTACCAACAACGCAATATACACTTTGATTTTGGGGGTTGTGGAATTCAAAGGCTCACATTTCTACAAAGTCCTCCCAAATAGGATTGGATGGCTACTATTTACTAACAACGCAATATACACTTTGATTATGGGGATCGTGGAAGTCAAAGGCTTACATTTTTACAAAGTCCTCCCAAGGTATAATTGCTGTCGGATCGTATGCAAAATGATTTTCAAATCCGGAGTTTGCATCTCGCCCAACTGCATAGAGCTGATCCTACGCTTTCCATCCAGCCATTCCTTGATTACAATTACAACATAATGAAAGCTTTTGGAAAATGAAACTAATAGATGATTTTAAAGTCTTCAGTTCACCACATCTTCTCAGAATCATCGGGGGCAGGCGATCCGCGAACTCGCGCTTTTCTGCAAGAGGTCAGCAGAATTTTGGGGCGTGGCCAAAACTTCAGCGAGCGGTACTTCCTTTACTGTCTAATGTTCTGCCAGCGGGCAGACACAGAATTTTCTGCAGGCGCTCGTCAAATAATCTCTCTCAGCGGGTAGAATAACGAAAGCCGCCAGTTTGGGCCGCCTCCGCGGACTGCTGGTCCGGGAACGACATGCAACAACATTGCGAAAGGACCAGTTGGCCGCGAAAGTCGGCTCAAACTGGCGGCATTCGTTCCCCCCATCCTCAGCGAGCGCTGGTCAAATTTTCAGCTGGCGCTTGGACGGTTTTTAAACGGTTTCGGAGGTACGTCAAGCAAAGGTGAGACTCTACATGGCAGAGGTGTCATCGACGGTTCAATTACTCAAGTTTGAGGTACTTTCTCTGTACTTTCTCTGAGCGGAAACTACCTGAGGACTGCGCGGTCCTCGAAATTTTTGCATATTCTCGCGGAAAGTCCGCGAGAATGCGGCCACTGCGCCGCAGCTAATCTATAAGGAAACCGCGATTGTCCTCCAAGCATTCGTCTAAAATTTCTCCGAAATTCTTCCAAATATCTGCAAGCGGACCGCAAGAAACCAACGAGCTATTTTTCCGGTGCCCGCCCGCCCATAAATCGCATGGCTGCCTGTCCCCGGCGATTATCTGAGTTGGTGTCTCTAGTAGAATTTCCTCACCAAAATAGGTTTATCAATAGCTCCGGATGTGATATAACGCGATCTGATATCGATTTCTTCTGCTGCAAGATTAACAAGCTGATCATCTCTCAACACTGCTTTCCAGTAGTGAAGTGAGATCTTTCGAGCGCGTTGAAACTAAAGCGGAATATAGAGCGAGTTGTTTGTTCAAATCAATCTTACAATTTCATGATTAAATAACTCAAGACCACGGAAAAGTTCCGTTTTATTTTTCATGACGACCGATACTCCGCATCCAGGCTTCAAAAACTTCAGAAAATCAACAGTGACCAAAGGTTCGTTGTCAGTAACCATGGTAAAATTTTCCTTGGCTATTTTCTGCGAAGACGATTGCTCGGCTAGAACAGCCTGCAAGTCCACATTTGGCGAAGGCTGAAAGGATCATTCTTGTCGCAGTCGTAAATTCACATCACAGTCGTAAATTTACATAGACCCCAACCATTGAAATGGTCGTTGCTTGAATATCCAGAACTTTGGTAAGCTAGAACATAGCTTCTGTTGCTGCAGTAATGGTGTTTGAGCTGTATCTTGTACCTGGTCGCTTGCAATACTTTCCTTTTTCATATCCTAATCTGCAATGATTTGCCGAAGTCTAGGATAACGTAGAAACGTGATCCAAACCTTTGCACATGGCACCCCTCTTCACTGTACTTCACAAATATCAATGGATAATCATGTACAGACTTCGGACCTGCTCCAGGCTTACGCCAATATATGTGTAACTTCACACCATCGTGATTCTTCGCGAATTTACGCTTAAAGAAAACTTTTAATATTTTTGCCCCTTAGAAAAAGCTGTTTTGCTATCCTCAAAAAAAGCTATTTAGAGCTGTATAACTAGGATTTACGAATTAACACCTGTTTTCTGTCGGGTATAAATGCCGCATCTTCAAGATGTAGGTCAACTTTCGGTTTTATCTTGCGTACCAAGTCGTAGCATTCCTTACTCCGAAACATGAAGCCTCTCAGTGTTGGAACTGTGAGGTATTTCAATACGTAAAGCTTGACATCGACGGGAAGGTCACCCCATCGATGGAACTCGGCCAGGATATCATCAAAAAGGTCGTATACGACATCAAACATAAAACTCGTTCTTTCTGCCATAACTGCAAAATAAATTAAGATTTTTGCCTTGGGGTATGAATGTTCGATGTAAATTTCCGTTTTTATAAGAAAGTTATGTGGAAGAAAAATGCTCGCTGTGCTTTTGAGTAGTTCGTGATGTAAAAAAAACACATTCATCGGAAACTTAATCATTCTGATTTCTCAGCTTTTGAGCATGAGTTACTCATTCAAAATATCATCTTTCAGTCAAAATAAGGCAATGCTAACCAATGCTTCAAGCGTATCATTCAAATTCTTGGCAAAGACGTTTGGTTGTCGAGACAAGTATGCAGAGATAAACACGAAAAGCCATTTTACAACTGTTGCGCAAACTTGTAATTCTACGCACAAAGGGTCCCAAAAATTGTGGATACTCTTTGATTGCGAATAACTGTTTTGTCACGAAATCTCTGGAGAAGCTGCAAGCAACGTTTGTAGAGCTGGTTTCAATTTAGATTTGAGTATAAAGCAATTGCCTATCTCTCTTCATCGCTGTAGAATTTAGGAATTTTACAGACGTATTTGTGCCATGGAGGGTCACATTCTGAATCAGAAAGAAAATAAAACTTCCTAGAAAGCTTCACACTAGTTTAATTGGGGTTGCTGATTCTATAAATGAGGTTTGCATCTCATTATAATGCTTTCTTAAAGAGTTACGCCGGTAAATAGTAGCCGTTCTATCGACGTTGCTAGAAAAATGTGACTAAAGCGTTTGAAAGCTTCACAGTTTTGTAACCTTTGATTCACCAGGCATCGCGGCTAGAAGGCGGGCTTTGTTAATTATGTTATTGGCTAAGTGAGGCCGCACGCGCCCGCGGCGCAGTCTGCGCCTCTCTCGCGCGCGTGCTCCCTCGGCATTACCTAGTCTTAATTATGTCGCGAAGCTTCACCTTCCAGCCCCTATGCCAATTGTATCAAAGGGTAGAAAGATATCATAGAATATATAGAGAACATCAAACTCCGCATCCATGAAAAACCTATTACACAATTTCGAATTTTTTCTGAAATTATTTGAAATGGCAGCTTTTCACAGTGACGCCATATGCCGAAAGTTCCCACCGCAGACTGCGTAATGAAGAGCAATCGATGACTCGCTCTCTACTAAAAGTTTCTCGAAAGAGTCCATGACAAGGGAGTTCGACATTCAAACAGTAGGCACATTTTTGGGACACCCTGTATATCGTCGATTCGTTAAGCGCAGGACTGCTCAAACGTTGCGGATCACGGGCGACGCGGCTGAAATGCTGCAAGAGCACGACTTGCATAATGGAAAATTTGTAGCGGAGCAAGCATTTTTACCTCGCGGCGTGGGTTCTGCAGTGACGTCCAGTCCGTGCTGTCGACGCGTCGATCATACGCGCTCTTATACCAAACGCTGTCAGTGGAGGCTTTGAATTGGATATAATGTATGTCTTTTCCAATTTGGTGCTTACATAGAAAATTAAGATCATTTTGCTCAAAACTGAATGTAATAGAAACTTGAAGAAACAATAAAGAGGCAAAGAAAAATGTTTGATTATGTGCGCTGCCCCTTAAGCGTTGTTTAGCTATTTTCTTTTAGTGACGCAATATGTGAACTTACTCCAGAGTTGCAAAGTAACAGACTACAAAGCTATTACAGATTAACATATAAAGAATCGAGAAAAGGGCAAGTGGAGGAAGTTCTGATAAAATTTTGAGACTTCGATGAAAATCGTTGAAGATACAATGATCTTATTTGTTGCGACAGCATATATAAAGTCATTGTTTTCAGCCTTTATTGCACAACTACACATTAGCATTGCGCAAACCTCATGTCGCGGATTGCGCTTGCACGAAAGAAGAACTAAGAGACATGCAATGAAGCATGCGTGTTGTGCAGGTACAGAATCAATCAATTCGCTCGTGATTAGTCATGAATTGCTGCCTGTAGCGAAAGAACTCACATCATTGCAAGGAGATAAGCAACTAAAAAAGTATCTAAGCATTAGAAAAAGTCTTCGCGCATGTCCAGACCGTAAATTTCATTCATAGCTTGCATACGGGCAGTTATGCTGAAAATGGACAGCGACTGAATAAACAAAAAAGTAGCAAAGTAGCGTCTCGATGTTCATCTGTTCGAAGGTATGGTTTTTGGCTATCTGCAAATCACAGAGAATAAATTTGAGCAGCTACCTCCAATTTAAGCTGAACGTTTTCGAACTGACTCCGAGATTTCTCCGTGATTTTTTAAGCCGAAGTAAAATCAATTTCCCTTTCTTATTTGGGCTACAGTACCTTCACTGCATTCTTGATATCCTGATATAAGCGCGCTGTCGCACCGCAAGTGCCGAAAATTGTCAAATTTCGAAGTCTCGATAAAACTCATTGCTGCTTAGGTATCGCCGCGTAGTGTACCAGCAGAATGTCTTAGCTGCAAAGATTATATATTGGAGGAACTGGAAGATCCCTTGGCATTCGCATGAAGGAACACTTAGCAGATTAAAGGCGCCAAAGCTTGGTTTCGCCGCTAGAAAGCACAGAAGCGAGGTGCATGAAGGGAAATTTTCGACATCAAATGTAATATACTTCTTACGAGAGGGAGATTTCGGCTAGGAGCGATGGAAGTATTCTGGATATCTGCGAAGAATCCAGAAATGAATAAGGAAAACGAGTACCTGTCGACCGCTGCTGATTTGCTCCTTTCATATCGCTATGCCAGCTATAGATCACATTGCATGTGTATCTATAGGATACTCATTCGTCTGCCGCGACCATTCACTTTCCAATGCGGACTTCCACGCATATCGGTGGTCTTTCGGTACTTCATCTTCGCTCTGCACAATTTCTGCTAGCGAAACTGAGGGAAAGCCGAAAACTAGCTCGCTTGGAGGCGATGTTTGGTCGTGTTGACTTACGGGTGACACTTTAAACCATTTTCAGGCCTCTGAGGAAGACGAAGGCGTCGAAACGTTGGGCCATGTGATTGGAATAAAGACCACCTATCAAACCTGTGTGGCACAGAAGCAGTTACAAGATGCAACTGAAGTTACTTATTAGCCGAGCAAATAATGCTTAATATGAAAAAGAGGAAACTCGAAAACGATAGGATGTCCCTATAGACTTTGCATCACAAAATTTGTGAAAAAGATTCTAAAGATTTTAAAGTTACTGTTTTCATTACATTTTTAGGCGTGAAATTATTGCACTTGTAGAGCATACTAAAGGTTTTATTGTGAGCTCTAAATCGAATAAAAATTTCGAGAATTGTGATTTTGAGAGAGACGCGCGATCGATGCAGATTGTCAAAGATTCAAATGAATGGTTCAGCATCTTTATCTTTTCGCATATTAAAGAATAAAATCAAAATAAGCTTGAGAGGTTTTCACTGACAACTTGTATCTCGAGACTTGCCAACGTTTATGCTCTTATTGAGCAGCGCCAAAAATCTACTGTTTTACTTTTTGCAAAAATTCGGGAACAGAGTTTCTGAAAAAATATATTTAAAACCGGTGAAATTATGGGTCATCACAATAGATGGACATCTGATACAGCTGGCGTTTCTTTGAGAGTGCTGTAAATTTTTGGAAATGCATGAGTATTGGGCTCCAAGAATATCATAGTCAAGAAGAATGCTACGAACAGCAGTTTTGTGAATGTGTGAGTCATTATCTTATTGTTAGACCGTCAAAATCATAAGAGTATCTCAAACAAATAGTTATAAGCACTTTGTGTCTTACTTTTTAAGTTGCACAAGTACTTGCTTACCACTGGTCTGCGCGGTTTGAACTGAGCCACGGAAAAGTTATCCAATCGAACATAATGCTTCCAAAGAATGAACGAAAGCATTATCTAGAACTAAACATTTAGAGGCAAACTACTTTCAAAACTTTGTTTTTCCTGCTGCTTGTTTCTCTGCTTTTGTGGACAGCTGGAGAAAACTGTTGGTTGGAAGTAATCGCAGACGACATCAAAGGATTCCAGGCGTTTATCTATTGACATTACGTTGAACAGGGTGAGAAGGGAAGAGTCCTCAACCATAAAATACAGTTAACCCTTACCTGAAAGGAAGAGGACATCAGGAAAGTGGATGTAGGTAAGCAGTGGACGTGATTGTGATGGAAATATCTTACGTGGTTATATGTTGATGTCTACAAGCTGACAAATTGCAATAAACAGCAGCTCAAGAAACTTGAAGGATACTTTATTAGTCTAATTCAGCTCACTATTTCAGCGTAGTTTATGCAATCTATCTCACACTTCATATCGATTCCCATGATTGTCACTTTCGACTACCTTTTAAGTGTGTTATTCCTGTCTTGGATGGCCTTCAATGATTTTGCTGTTTAAAGTTGTGCTTTCTTTTTCTCCCACTGATGTTACGTGCCAAAGCTGCTTTTTGATCCCACTACTGGCATCTCAACGAGAGATGATTGTTTCAAAAAAATTATAACTGAGAAGAAAAAGAAAGGACGAAAGTAGAAAGTAATGAGGTGGTTGGAAGTGTCGTACTTTCCTGAATACTTTCCACAAAACGCTGCACAAAAAACCTTTTATTACGCTTAATGGATTTCCGTAAGCAGTACACTTTCTACTCATACATGAAGTAGAGGATATATGGATCAGTGCGAATGATCACTTAGATTAGGCGAGAGAATAGGTTCAAATAAATTGCAGGAGGGTTTGTTATGTGACTTCTTCTAATTACATGTCCGTTTACGTGTTTCCAATATATTATTTGCATTTCTTCTGGCTTCTCTCAAAGTTTGAAAATTTCTGAAGTTTCCTTGTACCGGTATAGTTCTTAGCCCCGAAACCGGTTAATATGAAAACACCAAAAACCAACAAGCATTTCCGGCATCATAACACGTTGGCATGTACGAAGTCTCCATAAACATCCTTTGATAGTTAATAGTGCGGATTCGCTTATCGCATCGTACATCAGCCTTCGCGGATGAAAAAAATGCGACTTGAATCTTATATTAGTTTTGTACTCAGGGCCAACACTCTCCAGCCGCGATTTAGTCTTTTAATGTAATCTCGAATTATTCAGTAGCTCCTTTCTTAGTACTTCCATCCCAGTTGTTTCTAGCTTAGGATGATTTTCACGCAGTATCCAAAGCACAGTTTCGGACAATGTCAGGACGTCCTTGTCACAATACAATTTAAATCAGTTGCTCCATAAACAATGGGAAATGCTTTTATACGATTGCGCGATATCCTTAAATTGTAGTTTGTTCGTAAGCTGTAGGTCGAGCAGGTTTTGTTTTGTGTCTTGCAACGAAATGTACTTGCGCTTTGATGGCATAATAATCGCAATAGGTAAACTTAAATAACACTTTTCATTCATTTTTACCAGTATTTTTTTTACTAAGATAACTTCTCAAAATTACGCCAGCATCAATATAGCTCAAAACGGCTAGATTTGTCAGAGCAAAATGAGACAGGCACATGATAGAAGCTTTGAGTCCATACTTTCCTTCCTAAACAGCTGCAAGCTTACTTATGCATCATCTTGAGATTGTATGGATGATCTTGAATACCACAACTTCTTTTCTAATCGCAGCCGTGATAGAAAACTTAAAATTTGAGCATGGTAAAATTTGAAAAAAAAAACAGCAAAAAACTGCTTGCTTTGAAACCTTCAGCTAGAATTAGGCGGTACTCCGCGTATCTGCCATCAAAGCGTCTTGGAGTCTTGGAGCCATGATTTCCCACAGAGTCCCTCCTCATGTCAGTAACAGACAGGAACAGAAAAAAGGCGCGATGAAACCAAAATTGAAATACTGGATTAATCAATCTTGCGCAGTACGCGTGCCAGGGTCAGTAGCTCAACCCATCGCGTTTTGGTTGCAGAAGCGGCAACCAGCGGCAAAAAAAATTTAAAACAGCAAAGGCTACAGCCGTACAGATTGGATGTCTAGGGATGCTCCAATACGCATGATTTCGTTCTTGATGGCTCGATTAGAGCAATTTACTGTGAATGCACACGATTTCATAAAGAAAGAGGAGGAGATTTTCAATAATAATGAGTCATTACAGAAGTTTCATTTCTTTCCCTGTCTCATCACTTTCCGTGGGGAGGCGTTCGACACTTTACGGGAAGGTTGTGCGGTTCTGGTTGTGCTGGTGATTTTTTACAAAAATTTTGTTAATTGAGCCTCATGTAGTAGCAGCGGGTGATGCATGAAATCGCACGTAATATTTACACACTTATTTTTGTACTGTTACAAGTTTAGTATTTGCAAGTCACTTTTGTAGAAAGTCTTTGACTGCCCATATGTCTAAAAGTCAAGTATATACAGAAGTTCTAGCAGTTCTATTCCGCAAAGGGTAATTTGCTCTAAATGGTGCTGTGAATCGACACTGCTTCTGACACTGTTTCAATTTTTATGTGAATTGCATTCAAGCATAAATTGCTATTATTTTAGCTCATCATCAAACTGCTCATAATATTCGCCGTAATCCATGCCATCATCATAGTATATTACACCATTATCACCAAGAATTATGCTCAAACGATCGTCATCTGATTTGAACCATGTTTCGCTCACTTCCTTGTCCCATTTGAGGTACGCCTCCATAGCCTTGTCATAGTCATAATCGTTGGCATCATTCTCGCTCTTCCACGGCTTTTCGCCACCCTTCCAAAGCTGCTTTAATTTCACGGATGGGTTGTACTTTTTCCAGATTCCAAATACGGGCAAAGCTTCGTTAAAGAAGATCATCTCAAAAAATTCTGTAAATGAGACATTACCATATTGTTAGATAGCAACTTACACTCAGCAAAAGTGGTCTCATCTGCATGTGGTTCAATTTCATTTTGGCTACTTTGTACTCTTCAATTAGATTGGCAGCGAAAAGATTGAGCTCTTAAATTATGTTAGAACAAAAACTCTGCCCCTGGTTATGTAGAGTACACCTCACTGACAAAGGTGCAGTTCGAACTGCACAGTGTGAGCAGAGTTGAATTTTTCGCACTAACATTTAAAAAGTTATTTTTGCTGATTTCGAACACTCATTTTCTTGAAGAACTAGGAATAAAGTCAGAAAACTTTATTTTATTGTGAATCCATGACATTTTCGCTTGTTTGTCGCTTTCATCAAGTTCTAGATACTCAAGTGAATAATCAGTATAAAATAAAACTTGTTCTGAGCCAGCAAGCACTCACATAACTGCTCTACAGAATATGTATATTTCTTACTTTGAACAGGATGTACATTTTGTTTGCGAAACGAGTTTGCGCTTTAGCTTTTGCACCTTAATCACTGAGCTTGTGTAACTTACGTGTACTCTGGAATTGATTAAGCTCCATTTTACTACTTTAGAACAACATTTTATTTAGGAGATGTTCATAAAGAACGAATTTCCCTCGTGCTAATCTAAGTTTAACGCAGAACAATTAGTGCATCAAACCTTTCAATCATCTGCGAAAAGACTACCTGTATTTTTTACCCGTGCCCATAATTTGCAATGTTTCGGTCTTTAAAATGATTCCTTATGGATACTTGCGTTAGCAATCGTCCATGGATGTGTATCAGAATGAGATCAAATCCGAGATCGGTATAGATTTCATAGAGAATTCTCGACTTGCAATATGCTATACTAGAAAATTAGCATAAAGACAGAAATTTGAGAGTCTATTACAAAAATATATCGGTTCGGGACAACTCTGCGAAGATCGGCTCTTGCAGTCTTTTTTGGGCTTGCACATAATAATGACCTATCGTAAGCGACACGTATAGTACTAGGTTGCTCCGACAGTTCTGTCCGATTTCTAATTGCCGTGTTCTGACGCAGCTAGTTTCTTGAAGTTTTACACTCTCTGCAGAAATATGAGGATCATGATAGCACTTTTCTTGCTCTTTCTAGTATTCATTAATGCTTGACGAAACATCTTCTCTGTGATAAAAGTCCAAGCCCCGAAGCCAAACTTCCAAAATGCAGCCATGTCAAGAAGAAGTTTCTTTGAAGAGAATTCCCGCAGTATTCGTAAAATTAAATTTGTAATGTTTTATAATGGTTCAGGGTGTAATGAGCTAACATACGCACACTTTACCTCCAACAAAGCGAAAGTCTTACTTTTTCAAATTTCAATTACTTTTCAATAACTAAGTTTGTCCTCCACATTTTGGAAAAATTTGAAAAAGTAACACACTTTACCTCCAACAAAGCGATAGTCTTACTTTTTCAAATTTTTCCAAAATGTATATCATTGAGGCCCGCTGCGACAGTCGCATCACACGCTTGACCCTGCATCAGAGTGCTGCATTATCTGTAAAAGTCAACAAAATTATCAATTTTAGAGGCTACATCATTAACTATGTCAGTATGCTCGATCAGACTCGCATTCAAAGCTTTGAATGTTTGGTGGTAAACCGAGTTTCTGCATTGCCTTTTCCAGTGAACATTGCTTGCCCTTACTGGCCTGTCGCCTCAAGTCATGCGGTGATGCAAGGTGTCGATGCAACTGGGTTTGGGTTTGGTTTATTTTGGGGGGGGGGCAAGGGTTTCCCAAGCTTTAAGGAGTATATCGTATATCGTAAAACGTGTTGTTCAAAGCACTGCGCAGGCAGTCACCTTTTACACAACTGGTGCGTGACTTCGATGCATTCTTCTAGCAAAGGTAAAGATAGGGAATAATTAGGTGTTCAAAAAGATCGGTAGTTCATGCTTGATAGTCGATGAACTCATTTTAAAATTGATGCAAGCTCCATATTGTGTTCGATGTGCACTACTGCATTTAGCATTCCTAGTCTGTAACAATAACATGTTTCCAGCTTATATAAAAATCAATGATCACATTTGTTTCTTATGAGGTCAGATGGGCATCAGCTAAAAGGCAATTGTTTGTATCCGTATCCTTTCGTACAAGAAAAAAACCTTGTGGTCCTTTAATAACTTTACGTATGCGGTATAGCAGATACTGAAACATTTATTGTCTTAATCACCAGTTTCAAAAACTGAGACAAAGAACAGGCGTAAAAAACTGAGAAGCAAACGCTCTTTTAACTTCATCTGAAGGCACAGCATATCTATAGCATTCTATAAGATGTGAGAGGTGCTCTGCAATAGAATTATATATAAAACAGTCAGAAAGGTGATCACATCTGTTTCATGAGATCGAATAGCCATCAGCTAGAAGGCAATTGTTCGTATCTGTATCTATTCGTACCGCGAGGAAGCCTTGGGCTCCTCTGATAACTGAAGCGGGCGCGTCTTCAAAATTCCAGGTCCAGTGGTAGGATGTCCTAAAAGTACGGTATAGCAGATACTGAAAAATTTGTTGCATTAATTGTTAATTGAAACATTTGAGTCAAGAAAAGGCAAGTAATAACAAAGGGGCAAACGCTTTTTCACTTCATCTGAAGGGACAGCATATCAGTATTTTATGGAATGTGAAGGTGTTTTGCAATAGAACGAAGAAGGAAGCCAACTCAAAGACATACTCTTTGCACATATTAGATTTCGTTGTCTGCAGAAACCTTCGGTAACCGCACTCCATCCTGTACCACTTTGTCGGTTATTTATGCATCTAAGCATTGGCAGGATTTTCTTTAGAGAAGTAATTACTTGGAATGATAACTTGCAATTGGGGAAACTCAATCTCAATGCTTTCTAAAATCTACGAAAGACTCAAAAAGCAGTAAATTGTGGGTCGCGGTAGCTCTCAACGCCTTATGCACCTCTTTTCAATGTTACGAACTGTAGGCCAAAAGCTCACAGTTTCACATAGTCCTTCCAAAGCATAATCGCCTTAGGATCAACATGTTGCAAAATGATTTCTGAGTCTAAAGTTTGCAACTCGTGCAGCTGTATGGAACGGATCTTGCGTTTTCCTTCCAGCCATTCCTTAAAAGTAAAACTTCAGCTATATAAAGGTAATCCTTCGGAAAAGCTCAAGCTATCTGGATGAGGCAAAAACCTTAATGCTGCGGTTTTGTTCTGGTTCTTCATATTATAATCTACCTACCAATATGAGCTTATTGATAGCTCCAGAAGTAATGTCAGGTGCGCTTATGGAAATCTCTTCTGCTGCAAGGCGAACAAGCTGGTTATCCGTTATCGCTAGTTTCCAGTGGTGAATTGAAATCTTTCGAGAGCATTGAACCTAAAGCGAATAAATTTATAGAGCCACTTGTTTCTTGCACGGCGATCCTACAATTTTATGGTCTAATAATTCAAAACTACGAAAGAGTTCCGTTGTTTCATCATTCAAGTCGACTGACACTCCGCATCCAGGTTTTGAAAACCTCAGAAATTCAACGGCGATCAAGGTCGTTGTCAGTAAACATGTTAAAATCTTCCTTAACTATTTTCTGCCACGACGATTGCTCGGCTAGAACAGCCTGCAAGTCCGCATTTGGTGAAGGCTGAAGATATCGCATTCTTGTCTTGTCAGTAATTTCATATGGAACTCAACCACTGAAATGGTCGTTGCTTGAATATTCAAAACTTTGGAAAGCCAGAACATAGCTTTTGTTGCTGCAGTAATGGTGTTTGAGCTGTAAATGCCTGGTCGCTTGCGTAACTTTCCTTTTTTAGACATTAGTCTAAAACGATTTGGGTGAATCTCAGATAGTGCAAAAACGTATTTCAAACCTTTGCACACGGCATCCCTCTTCATTGTCTTTAACAAATATCAGTGGATAATCAGTTACAAATGTCGGACTTGCTTCAGGATTGCTCCAATATATGTGTAACTTCACACCATCGTGATTTTTTGCGAGTTTACGCTAAAAAAAATCTGCTATCTTTGCCTTTCAGAAAAAAAAGTCTAAGCTAGTCTCAAAACAGCTGTTTGCATATGTGTAAAACTAGGATTTACGGATTAGCACCTGTTTCCTGAAGGCTGAATACGCCGCATCTTCAAGATGTAGGTCAACCTCCGGTTTTATCTTGCGTACTAAGTCGTAGCATTCCTTATTCAGAAACATGATGCGTCTCAGTGTTGGAAATGTGAAAAATGCTCGCTATGCTTTTGCTTTTATTTTTGATCTGTGATTAAGGGAGTACGCGTTCATCGAAACTAAATCATGCTAACTTCTCAGCTTTTGAGCATGAGCTACTTACCCTAAAATATCATCTTTAGTCAAATAAAGGCAACACTAAACCAATACTTCACGTTTCGTTTAAATTCTTGATAAAGATGTTTGATCGCACGTCGAAAGGGTGCAGGAAAGGCCCAAAATCCCAATTTAGAACTGTTGCGCAGGCTTGTAATTCTACCCAGAAAGGGTACCAAAAAGTGTGGACGCTATTTGATAGTCAATGACTCTCTTGTCATGAAGTCGGAGAAGCTTCAAGCGACGCTTTTAGAGCTGGTTTCATTTTGATGAATATAGAGAAAATTGCCTATCGCTCCCCATTACTGTAGAATTACGGTAGGAACTTTACAAACGTCGTGCCATGGAGTATCATATTTTGGCTCAGAAAGAAAACAAATGACATTAAAAGCTTCACACTCATCTAATTGGAATTGCTGATCTTGTTGTAGCCTTCTACTTGTACTTGTAGTAGATCTGGGACTCTTGTAGAATAGTAGATTTATTAGTAGACTGGATATGAATAAGAACAGAAGGTAAGACGAGACGAACGAATGACTTAGTTAGCAGGGGGCGCCTTATATAGCGCTCAGATCCCTCGCATAGGTCAATACAACTTCCATAGATCAGATCACTAGACAAGAACAATACAAACAATAACAAATATAATGTTACTGTCCAACATCTCCTCATTAAGCTATCAACTGTATCGTTATTTCGAGGGGTTCACCTCGATGCATTGTGGTGGTCGATGTGTCTTTTGTGACCGGCGGCGAACTGGCTGCGGGGACGGCAGAGTAGCGGAACCATCAGCGTCCACTTGCTCGGCGGTAGCGACATCGCAATTTGGCGGTGTCCCATCAGCAAGAATGGCATCTTGAGAAGCGGGAACATCAATGGAAATGGCAGGCGACAGTATAGGGAGCTCAAAATTCGGAAGATTGAGCTCTCTCAACAGCGTGGTAGTGGCGTCGGCTTGCGATGCCGTGGTTGGTTGACATGGCGCCTCCATAAAAATCCTTCGACTTCCACGTTGTAGAGTGAGCGTCCAGTCCTTGACTGCACACGTTCTGAAGTCCAAGTAAGCTTCGATGGATTACGGTAGTCGCGAATGTAGACGGCATCATAGACTTCGAATTTCTTTTTTTGGCTCCATGTCGGCGGTTGTCCATTGCTTCCATCGCCGAATTCGATCTGAAAGAGTGGGTTGGCGTGACAGTTCGAGAGTCAATGACCGAGAGTCAAACGTGTAAGTAGAGTATTAACCGTTCGTCCAAGAAACATCTCGGCCGGCGAACGATTCTCAGGCGAAGACGGGCAGGACGTACAGCGATAGCAAAGTAGTAGCTTCGACAAGGCTTCCGAAAGGCTTCCTTCTCCTTTCAGCTTCAGGACTCTTCTCTTAAAAATTCCGACGAAGCGTCCGGCGAGCCCATTCGACTGTGGGTGGAATGGCGGCGCCCGCACAAGCTTGATCCTGCTCTTCCTGCACAAATCCTCGAAAAACTGGGATAAGAATTAGGTGCCGTTGTCCGAAACAAGCGTTTCTGGGAATCCAAGTTGGCTGAAAATCTTCATGAGTTCCTGCGTAGTCGCTTGTGACGTAGTCGACTGCATCTCCACGATCTCAGGCCAGCGGGAATACGCATCCACGGCAACGAGGTACATGTATCTATAGAGCGGTTCAGCGAAGTCAATATGCTAGCATTCCATCGGGCGAATTGCGATCGGCCATGGAGTTAATTAAGCTTTTACCGGATTCTTAGCGGCAATTTGACAGTTCCGGCAGCCATCCACAGTCTTTTTGACTTGACATCTACTATACCAGGCCAGTACACGTGATCGCGAGCGAGCAGCTTCATACTTGTTTGCCCAGGATGTACGCGTGCAGCATATGGAGAGTCTTTTTTCTCAACGAGGTGGGTACGACGACCCTGGATCCAAAGTATATGCATCCGTTGTAAGTAGAGAGCTCCTTTTTTGGTTCTTGTAGTTGAACAACGGCATTCTTGGAAGTGCATTTGGCCAACGCCCTGTTTGGAGGAAATTGAACAGCTCTATCAGCATGGCGTCCTTTTCTATAGCAAAACATCTTCCACGGTAACTGGCAGCTGGTTGAGTGCCTCCTCGTAAGTGGGTGGCGGTGACATCAGCTTCTACGTAGCGATGATGACGTCTTCGTCCGACGCACTCCGGCAGGAAAGCAGTCGGGAGAGAGTAGGCTTGTCCAAACGATGTCGTAGAGCAGTACTTGATGTCGAAATCATAGGCAAGCAGCGTTATCGACCATCGTTGTAATCGGTTGGCAGCAGTGGCGTACCCAGGATTTCGGCTCGGGGGGGGGGGGCGACAAAAATTTTTTTTTCGATGAAGGTGCGTGGCGTCAGCCGCGCACTCCGAAAAAATTTTTGGTATGCTTCCTGAAATTTTCAGGGGCTCAGGACCCCGAAATTTCAGAAAAAGGGGGCGTGGCGTCAGCCACGTCTCCGAAAAAAAATTTTTATAAGGCTAAATTGAATTTTTAAAAATTTTTAGAAATTATTTTAATTTTTTACAAATATAAATAAGTCTTTTGCACATTTTTATAACTCATGTAAGTAACTTTCAAAAATTTCGCGACCCATTCTCGGGGGGGGGGCGTCCCCCCCCCGCCCCCCTCCCCTCGGTACGCCACTGGTTGGCGGTGTAGGTCAGCACTCCTTCTTGCTCCCGAATATAGTGAGTAGAGGGCGGTGGTCCGTAAGCAAAGTAAATCTCCGTCCATAAATGTAGTGGTGGAACTTCTTGGAGGCGAAAACTAGGGCCAATCCCTCCTTCTCAATCTGCGAGTCGTTATTCTCTGCGATCGTCAATGGCGAGTCGCATGGCTAGCGACTTTCTCCGATCCTTCCGAGTAGCGGTGAAAAAATCACTGCTCCGATTCCATAGTTGCTTACGTCAGGGGCAACAATGATCGTCTTCTTGGGGTCGTAGTGGCACAGCAGAAGATCCGAGGTCAAGACTTCGCGAAGGCGGTCGAGCCTTCCTGGCACTCCTTACTCCAGACAAACGGTGTGTCTTTCTTCTTTAAGGCGTCCAACGGTCCGCGAAGTGAACGCATCCCCGGCACGAAAGACGAGTAAAAGAAACCATCTCAAGGTCAAATTCGAGCTGCTTTATATCTTGGGGCGGCAGCATATGAGCGAATTCAGCAATCCTCTCGGGATGGAGGGTCCTCCTTCGGCGTCGACGATAAATCTGAGAAATACTATGCTAGGTTTAGCAAAATGACACTTTTCACGGCGAACACGCATTCCATAGTCCTGTAGACGTTGGAATAACTTGAAGACGTCCGCGTCATGCTCCTCACGGGTCCTTCCGGAGACTACAACGTCGTCCAGATAGGCAACGGCTCCACTGTTGTCGGTGGTAACGTTGCTCATCAGCGACTAGAAAATCCCAGAGGCACTTTTCACAAAAATGAAAACGGTTGTAGGAATGTCCACGGGATGTGTTGATGGTCAGTAATCATTTGCTGTCGTGTCCATTTCTACTTGCAAAAACGCATCACGCAAATCGATATTGGTGTACACGGCTCCTCCATTCAGTTTTGTGAAAACGTCCTCAGCGGTTGGTAGTGGATGTCGGTTCAGCTCCAATGCAACGTTCAGCCCGGTGGAGAAGTCAGCACAGATGCGTACTGCTCCATTCTTCTTCTTGACCGGAACGATGAGAGCGGCCCACTGGAAGTAGTCGACGCGTGACAGCACTCCAGTATTGACGAGGCGGTCCAACTCTGCGTTGACAAGAGGTCCTACGACAAACAATACCTTCCGCTTCGGCACTTAGACGGGTGTGGCATCCTTCTTTAGCACCAGGTGAGCCTTGAACGCGTCCCAGCTCCTCCGTGAAGACTTCTGAGAACTTAGAGGTCGCCAGTGGTGAAGAGGCATCCACAACACAGTAAACAGCAGAAAGGGCATCTCGGAAGGGCGGCAGCTGTTGCAGCATTTCCATTCCTAGCAAACACATCCTTGGAGACATAAAATAATCCTTGGCTATCGAAACCATTGCATGTGAACGGCGTCTCATGAACTCCAATAACTTCTATCTGTGATCCATTTGCAGCTCTCAACTCAGCAGGCGGGGCCTTCAGGGTTGACAATCCTAATTCCATCCACGTCCTCCGACTTTATCGATACGTCGACACCGATGTCGAGTTGCATCTTTACATCCAAGTCCTTCAACTTGACGTTAACGTAGCAACGGGAAGTTCAGCAGTTCGGTTTCACAACTTTTTTCATGGAACGGCAGTTGCTGGCCCAGTGTCCTTTGTTTCCACAAGTGTAGCACACATCGTCACGGCGGGAACGTCCAGACGGATCCTTGCTATCGGATAGGTGTCTGGTACGTTGCGGCAGTAGTCGACGTTGCTTCTTTTTCCGGATAGGAGCAACAACTTCAGCTTGGACTAAGCGCTATAGATCCGATAAGGGCAGCATCCTTCTGCACGGATTGGTAAGCGTTGGTAAGCGTTGTAGTCCGCGATCAGGTCCTGCAGCTTGTTGCTATCGGCCTCCGCGTCCAGCTTGCGCATTAGTCGGCACGAATTAGCAAATCACAGGGCGACTGCAGTCCCATGACAAAAAGCAGGCATTTTAGTGGTTCACCTTCATTTCGTCTGCTTTGGCATCGACCAGCATTCTTTTGGGTCTAGCAGCCTACGATTCGACATCTTCGGAGGAGTTTTTCATAATGTGGAGACAGTTCCATCAAATGAGCGCCGTCTTTCCATCAAAAAGCAACGTCAGCACTTTGGTCAGTTCGTCGAAAAAAGCCCTATTGGTGATTTTGATCAAAATAGAGGTAGAGGCTTTTTTACCATTTTGAAAAGACGTCTACTTGAGCATTCT